ACACGACGCTCTTCCGATCTCCCCAAAACCCCAAAACCCCTTAAGACGAAATGGAAATGAATTAGGTCAATGATGAGAGATTATAATAATATTGGAACTTAATTTTTATTTGCTAATTTAAAATCTTTTAGTATCAAATAAATCAAGCATAAAATGAATGTAAGTCAATTTCACGCAAGCAATCAATCTTATTTTGATAATAGGCCTCATAAGTGTTAATGCGATGGCAGTATCAAAAGTTCAATGATGACTACGACAAGTACTTCTTAATAATGTCTAAAAGATTCAGAAATATCTACCCCTATAGCATTTACGTCCTCAATAATGTAAGTTGACATTGCATTAAAATGATTTGATATGTTTTTATGAACGTGCAATAATGAATATTATAGAGTGCACTGAGAATTTAGCATGCATTTTTTAGGTTATTAGAGAAAAAGCAAAGTTAAAGTCAGAACAAAAAGCATGGCTCATAAATTTTCTCTTTTTCACAATCCCATATCTAAAACTTTTACTAGCAATCCAATGAAATATAAAGCAGGAATTCTCTGACTTAAAAGCAATAGAACTAGCAACACTACAAAACACAAGTATCTGCATAAAATCAATAAAGTCTTAATCATTCTTAAAAATCATTAAGAAACAATAACAAGCATCCCTTGAATAAGGATCTGATTAGGATAAGTTAAGAAAAACAGATAAGCTCATTAAAGAAGGGCATTGGACATCAATAAAATTCAAAGCAAGAATAATAACATGTAGATAAAAGTGGGATTAGTTAAACTAGCAAATAACAGTAGCAGCAGTTTGAATAGCAATCATATGGAAATTAGTCCTAGACAAATAATACCAGTAATAGAATGACCATGATGCAAGAGTATAGATCATAATCACCAAATGCATTCCTGGTTGATAATCGGGGTAGAACACCAAATAGAGATGAAAGAGTTCAGACTATCAAAAATGGAAATTAGGTCTCAAAGAAAAAGAAGAGTAGCTCTAAAAAGAGAAAATTAGCTAAAACTTAAAGCACCTTTAATGGGAATTTTACCATGAGCTCATCTAAATAATACCCTAGTAATCATCAAAATATGATACAAAATGAGAAATCAAGAAATAACAGCTAGAAAAGATAAGGTAATCTTTATAGAACTTAGATTGCTCCAACTATGGAAAAAGGCTGGAAAAAGATGGAATTCGAAACAGTCAATGGTTTAATTAATGATGCTTTGAACTATCACCTTAATAGAAAGTTTAGAGAGAGAAGTTAGCACGACCATGATTAAGAGAGTGAGTTTACCATAGATTTAGACAAATTATAAAGACTGAAAGTATAATAGGAGAAGAGAAGGTAAAATTTGATGGTTTAGTAGCAATATTAGGAGAAGAAACAACAAAACTTTCAATTAAGTAAGACTCTGACTCATACTAAGTCTTAGATACTTACATCTGAAAATCAACTAATTCCCAATAACACTCATTCTAAGTGTAGACATTAACATATAGATGATGATAAATCACATAGCAGCCAATCTAGATCTAGAAGTCCTCCTAGAAAGCAGTTTGTCATTAAGCCTACTACCATCAATCATTTCACTGGTAAACCCTTAGAAGAGTAGCCTAGAGATTATACACCTACTAAATCTACGACTTTATTCAAAAAAACCTTTGCAAAACAGCAAAAAGAGCGAGAAAAGGATTAATAATTTCTAGACTAATATCACTAGGCAGTTGAATCTATCAAGTATCATAAGATGGCTTAGGATGTGAGTCCTAATGTCATCAGAAATATGGTTAAGAATCATTCTAGCCAAAATGAACTAGGAAATCAAATCTTAACACTAATTGACAAAGATTCTACAAATAAGATTTCTAAGGATTTATTGATTAAGACCTAATCAATGCTTGAAAGAAGTAAAAGTCCTCATTAAAACTAAGAATATATAGCAAATAGTAGATAGTAGTAGAGCTAAAATTACTATGAATCACCTGAAGTCTACAATTCAAAACCAGTGAATATCAATACGCATGTTCTAAAGAACAGATACAATTATAAATATGATACGACATCAAGTCCCACTAGGAAGTCTCCTCATAAAGAGTCAGAGTTTTCATTTTAGAGGACTTCATCTGAGGAAAAATCTGCTGAAAGATACTAGCAGTATAAGTAATAGACTTATCACTAGCAGGATTATTCACCGATGAAAACTACTAACCCTATCTCAACTATTCGAAGGACTAGGGCACAAAGATTGAAAAATCCTGAAAATGACAAGAACAGCCCAGACTACTCTAAACATGGTGGTACATCAGCATAGAAAAGAGCTTCTGAGATAATGGCCGGAGTAAGTCCAAGAGTCAAGGAACTTAAGAACTCAGCTTACCATTCAAAGAGGTCATCAAAGATGAACTCCAGATCTCATAGTAAAAAGTCTTCCAGCTTCAGAGCTGAGAAATGTATGCATTTTTCTCACAATGTTGAGATGCATATTGAAGATGAAGATGAAATAGCAATAGCCACTGCCAAGTAATTCTAGAACAGATAGCTTTAAAACATTATTAGAGATACGCAGATTATGAATAATAAGGAATCACTTGAGTATCTTGACTCTTACTTTTTAATGACTGATTCTAACTAGGGCACTCACAGAACTCATGGATCAAAGGATATTGATGAAGGTAAAAGAGATGAAGAATTAAGAATTTAAGAAGAGATTAGAAAACTAAAGCAGAAATATCAAAGTAGTGAGTCAAACAGATATCGATCCAAATCAGGTCATAAAAAGAAATCTAGCTTGAACCGAAGCGGTTAGAAGCAGTTGAATCAGAATCATATCACAGAGAATGATATATTGATGTCCAAGTATAATTAAGAGAAAGCTGAGCAACTCTACAGAAATCATTTAGCTAATTAAAAAACAGTGCCAAAGATAAGAACTCAGAAGCATTGATATTTCTAGACTTTAGAGCTTATAAGCTATCTTTAACTTTGTGAATAGTTATACTCAGTGAACAAGTTAACTAAATAAATAGAATCTTATCTATAACTAAACTTAAGACTTTTAATACTACTCTATTATTTTTATCTATTAATTGCTTTTCTCTAAAATGATTAAATATCAGGGCTGTATCATGATTTGAAATGACTTATAAATTTGCCCTTTGTTATTAAATTCTGATTACTATAATTACTCAGTAATAGTATTAACTCAATTAATATTTGAATAATTAAGAAAGACTACAAAATGTTTAGAGGTGGAGATTATGTTGATGATCCTAGGTTTTCAAACCCAAATCAAATTAAAAATAGCATGGATGTTAGCGTAAGTATAGCGAAAGTCTACCATTAATACTATTATGAAATATGACATCAGTTTCTCATAAAATATTTAGGACATTGCTGGCACTAAATCAAAATAATATGGGGGCAGGTAAAGAGATAACATGAACGTTTCAGATATAAATGGAATGAAGCCTCCCCTTCATGGATACGGACAAGGAAAGCCTCCTCAAGGATACGCACAGGACTACTCATAGGTTGAAAGAAGAAATTAAAGTGATCAAATTGCAGGAGTTAGGTATCGTCCAAGAACAGGAGAGAGAGGAATGGCCGACATCTTTTCAAGCAATGTCAGCGACGCCCCAAGGAGAATTGAGAACCGATCCCTCTAAACTAATGATATAGTTGGCGCTTCATCAAAAGTAGGACCCAACTAATATAACTAAAGCGTTATTGCAGGAGTGAGAACTGGATCTCCAGCCAGGAAAAATGATTCCTCAGTTTTTGCTCATTTAACCGATTCATATGAAAGAGGTGATGCACTCAAGAGAAAAGACCTATCTGATATTTCTAAGCCAAGAGTCGTCTAAAATAATCTATCTGCTCAGAGAATGAGCAATGGCTACCAGGCATCTCAGTTCAATGATCCATATGCTAATTAATAACCTGAATATCAAGCTCAAGATTACAATCAGCAAGCATATGGAGGCCAGAAAGATAGTCAGTTAGCTGGTGGATATGGAGATGTGTATTAAACTAGAGATTTAGAGAGAGATGAATTGGCAAAGCAATTTGACGAGTATTAAGCATTACAAGAGAAAATGAGACAATAGGATGCTGCTAGGAACTATCAAATGTAATTGAGCTAGCAACCAGTAAAGTAAGTATTTAGATTCTCTAAACTCAATCATTCTTAGTGGTTTAAGTGGCTTTACCAAAAATCAAGGTCTATCAAGCAATATTCTTGCTCATGATATTATTGATGTCAAGTCTAAGGGCAATCTAGCAAACAATGGCAATTAAATCTTCAATAGCGGTGGGTATTCAAGTTCTTCCAAGTAAATAATTAGTTGATTTATATTATCTTTGTAGCTCCAAGAGAATGATTCAAGAGCAAAAGTTTGAACAGAATTTCTAAAAACCAATGGCGTAAGAATAAAGAGTTAATTCTTAAATTATAATCATAGTGATCGCAGTTCAGTTCAATCTGAATATATGAAAAATAACTAGTTGCTTACTGCTGCGGGAGTTCCATTGACTAATAATTCTGCTTAGAGAAGACCTACCATAAATGATGGAAAGGAAAGACTTTTTGGAGCTGTTGATGAGAATACTACTGTTTAGTCGAGAGGAGCAGCAGCTAACTTGACTCTTGAATAGCAAAGAAGTCAGGGTAAGAGAATTCTTCAAAGTGGGGGTTAAACTGATAGCTATTCTAATGTTATTGGTGGCTATCCTGGAATTGAGAATCTAGCCCCATAAACTAAAGCTCCCTATTCTAACCAAAGAATTGTCATGATGTCACATGTACCGATACCAGGCATGAATTAAAACTATGGAACCGACTATTATGGAGGGCCTTTACAAGTTTAAGAATGATATTGAGCCGATAAAATAATAAAGCAATTATATTTTACTATGCCTATTCACATAACTAAAAGTCAACTCTTATTAACTGATTTATTTGGCTTAATTATTTTGGTTAATGTTTTCAGTTTTCTACTTTGAGTAGCAAGATGCAGATCAATGGGGTTTTGGGGTTTTGGGGGTTTTGGGG